ATGGGGGGTGCCTGGTGAGATATGGAGTACCTGGTGAGATATGGGGTGCCTGGTGAGATGGGGGGGTGCCTGGTGAGATAGGGGGTGCCTGGTGAGATGTGGGGGTGCCTGGTGAGATATGGGGTACCTGGTGAGATGGGGGGTGTCTGGTGAGAAATGGAGAAGTGGGTATTTTCATACATCGCTAATAAAAAATACTATGAAAAATTGTTTTAGTATATATCAAAATTTTAAGTGGATGTAAATTTCAAACAAAAATTCTATTTAGAAATTTATTTCAATGAAATAATGAGAGATCTATGCAAAGATGAAGCTATTTACATTAAATGGAGGATTAGTTAAGTTGCAATACATGCATGTAGCGCAATACTCTGCAGACAGTTAAAATGATTGTGGGAGCCAGGTGGTGGTGACATACGCTTTTAATCCCAGCACTCGGGAGGCAGAGGCAGGCGGATCTCTGTGAATTCGAGGTCAGCCTGGTCTACAAAAGTTAGCTAGTTCCAGGACAGGCTCCAAAGCTACAAAGAAACCCTGTCTTGAAAAACAAAACAAAACAAAAACAAAAACAAACAAACAAACAAAAAGATTGTGGTAAGAACATTTAATGACAAGGAAAATGAGTATATGCATGTGTGTTCATGGTGTGTGCATATATGTGTATATATATATATGTTGAAATAATTTGTAAATGGTATGAGCATGATCAAATGTTTTAAGTACTTATATAAATGTATGCAAAAATGCATGCACACACACAAAAAAAACCAAACTTCTGAGTTCATCCATATCTTCTTTATTGCTTGTTGCGTTTTTCTAGAAGGATCATGCATCACTTTTGCAATAAAAAAAGTCAACATTATTTTTTTATTTACCATTATTTTTTAAAGTTAAAAGCTCAGGTTTATTCTGTATACTTGAAAAAGAGCCAGGAAATGTGGCTTTAAGTTCTTCGGTCCCCTACTTCACTGGTTACAGAACCCATGAAGTCAGACAGTGTCTAAATGCTGCTATGTTAGGCTCTGGTTCTGGTTCTGAGGCAAGTACAGGGCCAGAGCTGCTAGATCACAACATCAGTGGTCCATCCTCAGATCTCTGATAGTCTCTCCTTCTCCCCTCCTTCCTGCTCCGTCTCCAGTGTCTTCCTTTCAATACATCCTCCTCCAAGGTTGTTTATAGATCTCCATTCAGCCTTCCTGTAGACATTCTTACACACACACACACACACACACACACAAGCCATGCATGTACACATTCTCACATGCACACATGCACACGGATGCATCCACACCCATACTCTGCTCTGAGTGTGTAGCTCTATGGACACTGACAAATTGGACACTTGGAATCCCATTGTGGACCCAAGGAAAGGTCACAGGAAAAGGGTGGGTGCTCATCCTACACCCAGCTTTCATTCCTGGGACCAGGCTCCATACACACTCTCTGCTTTGGAAAAGGAGCTGCAGCCCTGGTGTGTTGAAATAAAAAGGCGACAAACATGGCAGATACCAAAGAGGTTTTTCGGAAAGGCCTTTCAACACGACTAAGACACTCTACCAATTGGATCTCTTACTACTCCTAATATAAGAAAAGACTCATTTCATCAGTGAAAATGCCTCAATGCATTGCAAAGATGGGAGACCGTAAAGAAAACAGTGCTCAGGGGAAATGATACTAATTAGGTTCATTTTGTCTTTATTTTCCTCATGTAGTTTTGCTGGTAACTGGAATCCATTCAAATAAAGACCTGGCAAAGAAGATCAAGAAGTCCAAATTCTGTGAGTAAAATCCAAATCCCTTTCTGGCACAGGCTGTGTGCCCCATGTGGAGAGTGATCTCGCTTACATTTACAGCAGTGGCTCTCAGCCTTCCTAACAGTTCCCCATGGTGTGCTGACCCCCAATCATAAAATTATTTTGTTGCTACTTTATAACTGTAATTTGCTACTGTTATGAATCGTAATGTAAATATCTGGTATGTGGTTTGACCCACAGGTTGAGAACCACTGCATTAGCATCTGTGAATGGCCATGTTTGCCCTTGGCCAGGGTTTTTCTTTCTATATCAGTTGCTTTACATTTAAATGGAGATATGTCTTATTCATTATCTACCTCATTCTTCTGCCCCCCCCAAAAAAAAATTGCTATAAATCCTGATTTTCAAGTAAAACCAATGTGGTTCCACTGCAACAGGAAAATTCAAAAGTCACACATAAGACCATGCAGCTCTAACTTTCTATGGCTGGTGTCTCGATTCCCCATGACAGAAGACTCAGGATGGCTAGTGCAAAAGTCCGTCGAAGCTTCCTGCCTACCAGCATGCCTGGAAGAGAAGAAAGACCAGGGAAATTAAGAAGACAAGAAAAAGGAAGCATTCCCTCACACTCACACCCTACACGGATCTGGTTACAGTTCTCACTAGCTGCAATTTCAACACAACTGACAAAACCAAACCACTGGGAAGGTTGCCCCAGAACTCTGCTCTCTGTGTGTGAATGCAGTGTGGCCCCGCCGTTGCTTTGATAAACCTGAGCTTGTGGTTTGTAAGTCTTTAGAGCTGGTTTATAGAAGGATTACGCAAGAGTTTGAGCCAGTGAGCCAGAGAAGCACTACCATGCCGTAAGCGGAACTTAACAGACCGTTCTGAGGGCTGCTTACAAGATGGCAATGCTGAGAAAATTAAGCAGTGGAGACGAGGTCTCCGAAGGAAATAAGATACTCAGCCGAGAACAGAATTAGAGTTCGTTCATGCATTTGAAGAACTTGAGTGAGACCAAATTTGAAAGTGATGAACCCGGTTTGGGCTGGAGAAATTTCAAGACAAGGCAGTATTCAGGTGGTATTGGGGTTCCTGCCCACTGCCCTTACCCAGTCTGTAGTGAGAGCAGCAAGGGAAGCAGAAGGACCTGAAACCCGCCGAAGTTCGCGAGGAAGAGCCTGAGTGAATTGGAAGTTGTAGGTATGCCGTGGCAGGTGTTAAGCGATAAACACTATGAAACAGAACCCTCCTGCTCTGCACTGGGGGGACAGGGAAGGTGTGCCAAGGGCAAGACGCCACAAAGTCTTCAGCTCATGAAAAGGAAAATTCGTCAGAAAAGACTACACCTACACTGGGGCGCCCCTGAGGGGCTTCCCTGCTCCAAGCTTAGGAAAGTGTTTTCTCAAATGGAGCCAGCAAGGCGCACAAAGGCCACCACAGCTGTGAGAGAGATGGCTGAAGACAAACTTGGCAGCATTGTTCCCCTGGTGCTGATTTTGGGGGGAAGTGAAATGCCAGGGTGTCGGCCGCAAGAGGGCTGTACCACGGGAGCTCCAGGATCAGACAATGTGTGCCTGGGTTGGGGTCCCTACAAGGGCAGCCCTAAAATACCATCGCATGAAATTGGCATGTGATGCCCGAGTGGCAGCAAAGACCCCGATGTTGGAGATCCCAAGGTCATGAAACATCTCAAAGAGAGGCTACGTGTGCTGCAGGCGGCAGAACTGGAGGAGAGAGGCTCCCTAAGCGTTTTGGGGCCCAGATGATTTCATCACTAGTAACGGAGACTCAACGTGGCGCTGTCGAACTTGGTCCTATCTAGTCCTTGCCACGCCTCCTCCATTCCTCCATTCGGGGATGGGAATGCGTACTCTGCCATTGTATGCTAAAAGCATAGAACTTGATTTTGACTTTACAATGGCTCACAGCTAAGAGATGACCTTGGTCTCAGAAGTAATTGGACTGTTGGGCAGTGTTGAAAGTATTAAAAAATATAAGGACTTTAAAATTTGGAATAATTACAGTTTGTGTTATGAGGCGGTCGTGAGCATACGGGTCAAGGGGCAGAATGTACTGGTTTGAATGTGACATGTCTTCCCTAGGTTGGCTGTTTGGATATTTTGTACTCAGTGTTGGTGCTATTTTAAAAGGTTTGGGAATCCTTAGGAGACAGGACCTCTGAGGGAAAGTAAGCCACTTTCGAAAAACCTTGAGGTTTTTATTTGTGTTAGATAGGTAGTTACGGAGGGAGGGAGGGAAGGAGGGAAGGGAGAGAGTCTGGCACCACAGCTTCCTGAGTACAGAAATAATGTAACCAGTCACCTTCTGACTACAGACACAATGTAACCAGTCACCTCACAATTCTTTCTTCCCCACTATTATGGATGGTCCACTCTGGAACTTCAAACCTTCTTCACTCATGGGGAGAGTGTGGGTGAAGTGGGAGATGAATTACTTACATAGGGACAATGATCCTTTTTCCAAAAACTATTTCAAACAAGTATTTAAACAGCTTGAGGCTAAAACCTACATACAGCACCTTCAAGTTTAATCCTCTAAGCACCCCCCTCTCATCCATAATCCTAAACAATATGCATCTCACCCACCCCCCAAAATATAAAATTTCATTTGCAAAAGGAAATTCTTGAAGGTAAGAGAAATAAGCAAATGAATTCATGGCTCTTTTAACTTAATTTTTAGGCTTTGTTTAAGCTTTGAACTTGTTTGTAAATTACATATTTTAAACAATCTAACTTCAAAAGACAGAGGACCATAGCTACAAACAGCTCCTTTAAGGCACGTAAGTGGGACCCTGTCTTGAGGAATCTTACCCACCCCTTGGGCGTGCACTGTCTCTGGACAAATCCCAGCTTGGCTTCACCCCGACTCCTCCTGAAATTCTTTGCTGTGCTGAAAATCAGGATTGTGGCTCTATCTGAAAGAACTCGGCAGGCTGCACAGGCCACAGCATTGGGACATTGTCCACTCGCACTGAACTCTGGGTTAAGGAGGTAAATTGCAGAAGTACCTGGCAGATACCACACGCAAACAATGGAAAGGAAAAATGAATTTCATTTTTGGTTAAGATAAGTTGACCAAAAGAAAAAAATCCAAACTAATTACTACTTATGTGAGACCAAAGTCTCTCTCCCTTAAACAAAATCAAGCTGTAATTTAATGAAGCTTCAGATCGTTAGATTGTATGTACACCATTTTTGACATGGCTCCTAACTGTCCAACAGTCACCTCACCCCCATTCTTTCCAATCAATAACAAAGAATGAAAAAGCACATACTAGCTCATAAAAATAATAATAATAACAGTAACCTAACCCCACTACTTGAATACCGTTTGGTAAGTGACAAATAGATGGACAGGTCCTGACGGCCGCGTACACAGGATCCCTCACTGGGAAGGAAGGACAGAGCGAAGGATGGGAACTAACCAGCAGAACAAGGCACAGATGGAAATAGTGCACTCTGAGTGCGCTGGGATTTCTGGATTCAGAAGTGAAGGCCTGATGCGGTTTATAGGCAACCGTAATCGAAAGACTTCAGACAAAGTCAGTGTTCTGTGCTTCCCACAGTAAGGGCTTTCTTTACAGGCATTAAATTTAAGTGTCTTGAAATCAGCAGCATGAATAATTTGAAATAAAAGAAAGAAATTTGTTTCATACAACCCCCCCCTTTTCCATTTTCTTAAAAGCTACCATGTGGAACTTCCTGCTGGAATGAGCCCGAAAGGGCAGCCGTCCATAGACTCTTAGGTGGAAATCCTCAAAAAGGAGCATTTGTTTATTTATCCCGACTGTATCGCCGTCCTTCGCCAGATGAAGGATCTATGGTGATAAGCAAAATATACATCAGTATGGTTATGGGCCACGGCCGATTCAGGCACCCTCTCCTCTGTCCAGAGAACAATCTGGGGGATCTCTCCTTGGACCTGGGATCCCATATATAATCAAGTCTCCTGTAAACCCTAAAATGACTCCCTTAGTTGAAATATATTCTTCCCTGATCCCATATTCATCCTTCCTCCCTCCCCCCCCATCCCAGGCCACCGAGCTTTCCCCGTTCCTCCCCTACTCCCTTCTCTCTAACACTCTCCCCTTCCATCAACCCTCCCCCCCCCCCCCATGCACCCGAGGTTACCTGGGACTCTTGTCTATTTCCTACCTCCTGGTGGATAGCTAAATAATCTTCATCAGGTTCATCTTCTTATTTAGCTTCTCTAGGATCACGAATAATAGGCTCAAAGACCTTTAATTATGGTTAGAATCCACTTATGAGTGAATACATACCTTGTTCCTCTTTTTGGGTCTGGCTTACCTCACTCAGTAAAGCGTTTTCTATTTCCATCCATTTGCATGCAAAATTCAAGATGTCATTGTTTTTTACCGCTGAGTAAAACTCTGTGTATATGTTCCACACCTTTTTTTAATCAGGACCAAGAGCCAAGAGGGCCGGCACTGGGGCAGGTGTGTGTTCAAAACAACGATTGGGTTAATAGAGAGACAAATGCACACCCAAGTATGGATTCCTTTGGGTTATTTCCAGTATCTTCATTAACGCTGATACAAAAATCATGAGAAGTTCCATGATTACCATGACAACAGATCTCAGTGACTATGAAAGCCTGTGTTAAGTAACCCAAGGGCAAACCCCTTGGAGAGCTCTCAGATGGATTGGATTTCTGATATGCTAAATTCTAGTTCTGTTCTCCAAAGCTCCCTTGTGATGCAGCATATTTGAATCAATAAATGCCTGAAGTCTTTTCTCTAATTAGAAACTCTAGCACAATCATTAAATAAGGGAGGGGAAAGACCCGCTAAATGCAATAGAATAGTCCCAAGCCAGGGATGTATCTGATTCTTGACCTCAGGAGTATTTGCAAATTATAGTCTACAGCCTGAGGCTAGAGTAATTTTCAATCTTCCGATTGTTGTCTGCAGCTGGACTAGGTAACTTAGGGCAGGGAAGGCACAGCATTCAGGCATTCAGCAAGGATTTACCAGAGGCCAG